AAAAAAAAACTAACTTGGTAAATAACGGACACCCTAATATACATACTACATATCGCACACAATCTTCAGAAGTGACCCAACTCAAAATTTGGATTTTTTCAAACTATGCACTAAAAATGCACACAGAGCTCTTATTTACCTTTAAGCAAAAGCTGGAGCAAATTTTATCTATAATTTGTTAAAAAAAACCTATTGGCAAGGGAGACTACCAGCATGATTAGCGTGTGCTACGAAATAGTTTTTCGCATTTTCTGACGAACGTGTAATTTTGATTTGTGTCACTTTTGAAGAACGTGTGCGATATGTAGTTTCTGTTGAGTTCAATTGAAACTATGTTGTAGGCACATAAGGTATATACCTTGGATGTTCATATTGTACATACTTACATATACTATGTGTATGCTTCTTTTCTACACGGTTATATTCTGCTCGGGTAAATTCAATCCACATGCATAAACAGCTTTTTGAATTGAGTTAGCAAGTCTACTCGGGTAGAATATAAACATTTTTTCTACACCGGTAGAAATCTTAACACGGGTTGAAATTTGTACATAAACGATTTTAGAAGTGTTAGCCAGGGTTGCATTGGGTTTTATAACTCGAGTTGAAAATAACTATTAATGTCGCGGAACCTACCAAAATCCAATCTAGCCTACCAACCTACCAAATGGAAAAAAACCTACCAGTTTTGGTAGGAAAAGCCCATGTTTGGCAAGACTGATCGCATTCGTGCCGGAAAGCAAGCAATCGTTTGCTTCTCAGCTCGTCTCGTGCCGCTGCTGTGGCTGTTCGCTTTTTCGAAGCCAAAGCAAAGGCTTGAAGATTGCTTTTGAAGCAAGACAACTTCAGAAGCACAGCATTAGCATATTTTCGTTGCTTTTGTTAAATTGCTTAAGCATTTCAAACCCTGCATATACTTATATTTAGATAATATACCATGGTGCAAAGCTCCATGTGCACAACACAGCCAAGCAGACTACAGCACAGCAGAAGCACTATCGCAGCAAATCGTAAGCAATAAATAATTTTAAATAAACTGCCGATAAATAAGCAAATTAAAATTTTCAAAGTCACATCAAAACCAAAGCAGTTCGAATCAAAATCGAAAATTGAAAAGCGAAGCAAAAGCAAAAATAGTAGTGCTGTTGATGCTGTGCTGACAGTTTTTCAAACCCTGATCAGTTTATTGATTTACAGAGGCTCAAAAATGTCTAAAATCGCGTTTTTTGGCACCTTTAAACCTAAATTGCTCGAAAACTAGAGCGAATCTAATATCTGTAGGGCCAGATAATGATTCTACGGGGAAAATACTATAAGAATCGGCAGTAACATTCTAGTCAACATAACATTGTTTAAATTTTGTTGGCCTGTGTTATATATAACAGCGTGTCGTCAGGCTCGGCTTTTTGGGAGTTTTTATCTTGAAAAACTTAAAAAAACCCCTATTTTTCTAAATTTTTTTTAATTTGACCAACGCTGATTTCCAAAATTTCTATAAAAGTTGACTAATATGTGGAATTTATCTGAAAGTACTTTTAGTTTCGAATAAATTGATACCTCCCCTAAATTGCCGCAGTTAAGCAATTTAAGTAGAAATTCGTAGAAAAAATTGGTTTTTCATAAAGTTTTAGGAAAATGGGCGCGGTAATGCCAACTTACATCACATATAAGCCGAAGACCCTGTAGCTAGTGCCGTTATATTTTGTAGGTAGGATAATTATTTATAATTATATTCCCTTTTAATAGGTAAATAAATAAATACATCACATATGTATGTGTACCTCCAAAACAAAGTACTTCACCGAGCACTGCCTTAAGATTTTTTGTAATCGGCCAAAAAGCACGCGTTGCACCCACGTAACGAAAATTTCAAAAACTTCAATTCTATATTTTAGGGGGAGTGGATTTTGTCAAATTTCAAACATTTTAAATACGGTGCTAATAAGCGCAATATGTATACCGAATTTGGTCGAGATCGGTGAAGTAGTTTTTGAGATACACATATATGATATAATTAGGCGGAACCACGCCCATTTTCCTAAAATTTTACAAAAAGGAAAATTTTTGCTAAAAAGCCATTATACATTTCAATTTTGAGTAAATATTGATGCATTTAGTAGCCGCACTGCTCAAAATTTCTGAAAGTGCCGCACATCCACACACATAAATTCAATTTTAATGAAATTGCATTGGGTGAGGTATCAGTTTATTCAAAATCAAATGTACTTTCAGATGAATACTACATGTTTGGCAATTTTCATAGAAATTTTTGAGAATAGCGATGGTCAATTTGAAAAAATTAATAAAAAAGAGGGTTTTTTTTAATTTACCTGATGAAAACTCCCACCAATCAAAGTCTAACGATATAGTGTTACACATCATTTTAAAGGTCTATAAAGCTCCTTTCCAAAACATGTCTGATTTTTAAATAACATAAAAATGTACGGTTCAGAAACTAGAAGCCTATTTTCATGTTATACTCTACCCTACCTACAACCTACACTAAGTTTTATTTCGGGGGTATTTCGTATTTTTTTTTGCAGCGTCGTACAGTGGTCCAATGAGCAAAGCTAGGGTTTATTAATTAAATTTTTTGTTTGCAGTTTTTCAAAAAAATTTGTATCAAATATGCAAGAATATTGTCTACTTAAGAGTAAATACAACTTTGTTTGAAAAAGTTTGGCTACATATAAACATATCGGTATCCAAAAGTCATTGTAAGCAATAAGTGAAAAATGAAATTGTGCGTGCAACGAAAACTGAGTGTTTTTAAGGCTCAATAACTTGTTTAAAGAAACTTTGTTTTAACTTCATTTCTTTCTCCGTCATTGTATTAAGTAAGAAAATTCAGGAAATGTAAAAATTATTACCGAAGTGGACGCACATATTTTTTTTTAGTTGATAAAGTTTTAATCGTTTTGGTGAGTACCAAATTATTATTATTTTCGCTTTTGTAGAAGAAATCTTTCTTATATGGCGGAATATAGATCACTTACTATACTTATTATCTCAATTGATGTATATGCTAATAGAATCCACAAAAAAATTCTGCGGCTAGCTGCGGCACCCATACATTTATTTTCAATTTTCAAAATGACTCCTAAAATTTCAAGACGGAAATTTTTGATTTTTGGCTGTCGACCCCTAAAAATGAAAGACTTGATGGAATAATTGATTGTGTACCAGAGAATATCACTTTAGGATCTAGTGATAGAATCAAATTCTTTAAAGTTTTCTCGAAATCTAGGAGGTATATTGGCCAAACTGACTTCAAATTCGAATTCTGCGAGTCGAAATACATAACCATAGGTAGGTCCGGTCAAATGCACATCACACTAATTTTTTTTTTGTGTGCCAGTGTATTCGACACAAATTTATCAAAGCATCAGTATCGTTTACTTTCTGAGGGCCATTTTCTAATGGCATATAAATTGTTCCTCCCTTTAAAGTGTTTTGGTTTTCTTATCTTACCGGTAAAAATAAATTTGTTATTCAGTAGAGTGAAACTTCACTACATTTCCGAGAGTGAAACCTTACTACATTCGTCAAATAATTTTAAAGGTTGACAATAGGCATGTTTTATTCAACCATCACAAGCAAATAGCTAAATCTCGGTCAAATAAAACGAAATTAGCTTATTTCCTATGTTAGCCTAATTTTGACATTTGTTTGACTGCAAATGGTTTCACAGTAAGTTTTTGCCTCTTTCTGATTGGCTGAAGGAGAACATTTCTGATGCTGAATGGCAATGCCTCTTGTTCAATATGCAAGCCAAGATAGCTTTTCATAAGCCAATATAATTATGTTGGGTAAGTCCTCCATACAAAATAAGCTAATAGCTTAAATTTTTTGACAAATAAAACACGGCTAATGTAACATAAGCAAATATAGAGCAAGAGAAACTGTTAGCAAAAACCAAAACCTTGGTTGAAATATCTAATATATCTGACTCTTGAACCAAAACCGAACCAAAATTTAAAGTTGGGTACACATTTTTAGAGGTTGCATCGGGTGAGCAACAATTTATCGATTCGAGAAATTAATGCGCTGATGAGAAAACGAAAACTCGTATATCGAGACGATAAAGTGGCCGGTAATCTAAAGGTTAGATGAGAAAACTGCCCCTAAAGTTGTTAAGCTTGATCTGACTTTTTAGCAGTCTTTTTTTATTTTATACATATATTAGGTGGCTGATTGGGATCCGGCGTCAATACAGTATATACATAACGGACTTTCTATTTTTAATTCATCCCAAATAGTTAAAAATGTTTTAGGTATGCAGATATCTATAACCGTGCGCAAGTGCTTAAAAAATGTACCAGAAATTGACGAAAAATTTAACGATTTTTTAATTATATGGTTGGTAGGCGTGGTCGCCTAGCAGAAGTTGTTAGTCATTCAGACATAATTTGTGCAAAATTTCATCCCGATGTCTATCTTAGTTCTTAATATAATAACTAAATTACCCTAATAGAGCAGATTGGCCCACTGTACGTCGTGTCATTAAAGGTAATCGACTAAATTTACCAGATTTTACCAAAAAAAAATTCTTCGAGTAAAATCTTGCAATTTCTGACAAGATGGTGCATACCTCATTTGCCACTTGCAGAGTCTGGCGAGTTAGGGAAACAAAATGGTTTACATATCTGAAATCCTCTCATGAGAAGAGTTGAATCAAAATCGATTGGAACATTTAGGGCCGGTTGCTCAAAGCCTGGTTGACACTAATCTCCGGTTAAACATCGTATGGAGTCGAAGACGTCGATAACGATTTTAACCGAAGGTTAGTGTCAACCAGGCTTTGAGCAACCGGCCCTAAGTTTTATTTTCTGCTCCATATATCGTGGTACGGTATAATATACATACATAATTTGTTAATCTGTTTTATACTAATATCTTTTTTTTATTTATAGCCCAATTAGCTGAAATCCGCAAAGCCAGTTTATCAAAATTATTTTGCAACAATGCCGACGACCTGCAGGATGTTCAAACAAACGCGTTTATTTTTCCAAGCATCAGGTTATTAAGATACATCCATTTGTTTTTTCATTAGTACAGTCAAATTATGTAGATTTGAAAATTGGTCTCCTGTCGAAATTTAAGATGGTTACAATTACACAGGTTTACAAAAAAAAAGTTTCTGCATATTGAACCAAACCTCTATATCCCTATGTTATTGGACGCGTTGAATGCGAATCCGAGGACTGTTAGCCTCCATCACGTCAGGTTCGAGGTCATTTGAAGGTCAAGTAGGGAAAAATTTATTGTATAAACTTGAAACTTCCACAGAAATCTTCTGAATTTGACCTTGGGATGGCCTGTAGATGACCTTGAAGAATCAAGGGACCCCTATATTCAGATTTAGCGACAACAACAAACAAAATTCTTATTGAATAAATTGTTTTCCTATTTGACCCTCAAATGACCTCGAACCTGACATTATGGATCTCGGATTTCGGTTCAGCGATTCGGAAACCCCATATATATGAATTTTCAAGTTTATTCAATGAATTTTTTCCTACTTGACCTTCAAATGACCTCGAACCTGACGTGATGGGTACGGGTACGCATTCAGCGCGACGAATAACATAGGGATATAGAGATTTGGCTCAACACGCAGAAACCTTTTTTTTTGTAAACTTGTGTTATTTTTTAATATTAGCTGTGTTTCTTTTAACGCGTATATAATAAGTACATATATGTATATTTAAACATATCGTTTCGATTTTATCGACAACTAAACATATTTCTGTTCCATAACAAAAATAGCCATAGGTTTAGTCACAACGAAAAATTACCACAAATACTTTTATGGCGTTTTCTGACAAACGGTAGATTTTGAGTCAGCGTTTGGAGAATGTGGTGCTCGTACTTTAATGTGGTTAGTGTAAGCTTCCCTTTTTTATAATCATCGTATGGATCTTTCACAAACTAGTCTGAAGGCATCTATACTAATAAATTTATACTTACATACCACTAAAAGCTAATCGAATTTTTCACTACCACTTAGCATTTACTGATATTGCATTTCCAATTTCATAACCACTTTATGGTTAGTGGTAGTGAATATTTGATTCCACTATCAATAAATAATAGTGATAGTGAAATATTAAGTGCAAATTTTGAGCACTGTGCCCAACTCTTGTTTCATAGAATCACAAATGTCACCGATTAATGCAAAAATACGAGCCCGGTTTACCTTCAAACCAACTTGCAAATCCTTTTAAAAAAAATCAACTTTGCACTTCTCCAGAGACTTTTTAGACCTACAAAGTCGGTTAGGCAATTTAGTGTTTTCACAAGCCAGCAACCCAAATCAAGGAATTAAGCGAAAATCCTCTCCAAAATAAGAGAAAAACCAAAAAGGTTAAGGAACAGAAAATTTGCAGTCACTTGCAAAACAGGAAGAAAATGGCAAATCAGCTGATTTTGTGGTTTCTTTTGTAATACATAAATAGAAATTTAAAGTGCCATTATGGAGGTAAACATCATTTTTTGAACGCTTAATTGCATTAATTTGTAATAACAATTACAAATCCCAATGTATTTCATAAGCGCACAGGAAACTTCGCGCTTATAAATAGCTCTATACAAAATTTAAGCGCAGATAGTACGTATGGGCGTCAAAAGAAACACGGCTATTGTGAGGCTAGCAGCAAGGAATGTAAAACTTGATTTGAGGAAATCAAGAAACTCTGAAATCGCCAAATGGCTGTTCCACCTCAAACAGAAAAATCGTTCACTGCCCTTGTCTTCAAGATGGCGTCGATCCACAATCCCCCGAAATCCACAAATAGAACTTTACAGTCTTATAAAATAAAGGAAGATATCACCATGCAAAAAATTTCCAGATTTATATGTATGTACGTTAGGGTGCATCACTCTCCACAAAAAAAAAATCCTGTTTCTCCTTCAGAATTCTAAAATTTATTATATTTTAAGACTTCCCCCGAAATATTTCGGAAAATATTAAGATTTGCGTCAGCTGGACCGATTTGAAAATACCTTCGAAATTTGAGTCAAAATACTGTGATGTGTGGAAGTATTTAATCTTAAATTATAGTAAATTGTATAATTCTGGTGGAAAATACGCAACTATTTTTGGTGAGTCGCCCTAATGTACATACATATCTGTGTTCGTATGGAATAGTAGCTTATGTCGAAAGGTTGGCTTGAGTATAACGCGGCATTCGCAGCATACGATTGCGAATGACTCACTGGCGCCGACCCGTTGAAGAACTTTTGGCAAATAAACGTGCAACAAATAGTTCCAATACTAGCAAGTCAATATTCTTCTTAGGTCTCATCAAAAAATTCCTTGTCGTTTAAAGAATAAAAGGGAATGCCGCATTATACTAAAGCTTGCTTCCTTACATAAGCTACTATTCCATACGAACACAGATATATTCATACTAAATGTAACTTCAATTATTTATTCCGCAGGAATATTCTGAAAAGTTGTAAAAATCTTCCCCAAGTGGATTTATCGAAATGGAAAGCATCCGTTCAGCAAGGTGTTTATTTAAATTAAAGAGATAAAATTGTCATTTGTATGCATAGAAAGGCATTTGTTTTAATAAATTGAAAATAATTTCGGTGCGATCTACTTATTACTTCTATTATTTTATTACGAACCGTTCTTAGCCACTGCACGTTCAATGTTATACACTGAGGGAAAAAAATATTAAAATAAAATAGAAACGTAATTGATCTTACTATAAACGTCAACGAAAGTACTGTATATTGGTAAATATTCAATTCAATTACGCGCATATTAAGATAACCGCGTTCGTACTAAAAAAGCATCCGTGAAGTGAATAATCACGACAAAAACTAAAAAACAGAATTTAAGTTGCATGTTGCCTGCAGTGGAATTCGAACCCGACCATCTCCGGATATCAAAAACTTGTGGCAAGCATCTTTGCGCACTCAGCTACACCCAGACATATAAATTTGCCTTCAAATTTTGAATATACATCAACACCATAGCACGAGATTTGTACGGATAAACATGTATGTACTATGTATATATGTGTGTGTGTTGTCACCACTCTCAGAGCGGCGCTCTGCATGCTTGGGGTGCGTATGTACACTTACATAAACAAACTGAGATGTGAACAGTCAAATACGTGCGTAATAAATTTTGTATGAAAATATTATAAATAATAAATACTATATTATAAATACGAACATTTTTAAACGATAATCAAATATAAAGTATTAATTTTTACTATGCATTATTTCCCTCAGTGTAGGCGGCATACACGGTGCGTCTGGCTCGCGAGACATTTGAGTAGTCCACTTGCAAACAGCGTTATGTGATTTTATAATAGAAAAAACGACTACGACAACAAGTAACATTTAAATAGAATCCTTTTTATTATTACCTGAAAATTTGGATAAATAAGAGCCTTATAAAATTATAACGTAACATACCACGACATAAGATAACATTAACAGTCTACACGACCTAAAGCAGTTTTCCAGGTTCATCAGAAGATGGATACTTTCGAAAGTTTATAAATAAATATGATAGCGACTTTTGGAAGAAGAGTAAACATTTTATGCTATTTTTTCAGAATATAAAAAGCTTTTGCACTGTGTTGTTAGTGGATATGAAACTACTTTAAATACTGGTACGTAATCCACCAAAAACTAAAAATCTAAAAAATTTTACATAGCGCAGTTTGCAAGTGAACTACTCATTTGTGTACGTGTTGACTCGCCTTCGACTACACACAGTTGAATCATTCAGAGTCATTCCAGGAGTCAATTCGGTGTAACTAACACATATTTATTTTCACAAATACATCCAAACCGACTCGCGGGTCAGACGCACTGTGTATGCCGCCTATTAAAGCTTTTCAGTCAGGCTTTAAACATTTTTATTTATACAGCGGAAACAGTGAAATTTTATGAGCTCTTACATATCAGTTACGTACAGGGTCTGCTGAGAAACAATGCTGAGATCAATGCTGTTTGAGGTATATGAGACATTATTTTTCATATCGGACACCAAATTTGGTGTCACACTTTCGATTGGCTTCAAATTTGTTTATGGGTTCTATACATGAAATAAGCTAACACGTATTAGAGGAATTTTTTTCGCTTTTTTCTTTGGGGATATGATCTGTCAAAGTTTGCATTTTTTCCTGATTCTGACTAATCATGTACTCCTTCAAATCGTTATATCTCGGGTTCTTCCCATCGTAGAGACTTCATCTTAACGTAATTTTAAATCTAAGAAACGGGCTTAATATTTCTGTAGATAATATGGTCAAAATTGTCTTAAAGCTAACTTTGCTACAAACAGTTGAGCTTTTTGAAGTTGATTTGCATAGTGAAGAGCATTAAATTAGGCACTTAAAACTATACCATCGTAATCCTTCTTTAATTCTCTATAAAAAACGTGGTTCAAACAAATTGTGGTTTTTCAATAACTATTTTTAAAAAGTACATGATTAGTCAGAATTACGAAAGAATGCAAACTTTGACAGATCATATCTCCGAAGAAAAGAAAGAAGACACCAATTCCTCGAACACGTGTTAGCTTATTTTATGTATAGAGCCCACAAAAAAAATTACGAAATCCGTTGCAATAAACGCGTGATCAACAAAAGTTGCATTTGTTTGTATAAAAAGTGTTTGGTTTGTTACATTAAATCATTTATTGGTGTTTTTTGCTATTAAAAGGTAAGTTAGACTTCATTTTATAAAATTGGGACATATACTCCCAATAAGCTTTTTACGTGGGATGCATTGTCCCAATATGTATTTTACGTGGGATTAATTGTCCCAATATGTTTTTTAGATGGAGAAAAGGAAGATAACTCAAGAGGATCTTGTGCGTATTATGTTTGAAGAGTCAGACTCTGATGTTAATTTTGAGGACTCTGGGAGTGCATATTTGCTTGAGAGTTCCGAAAACACTGAATCTGCATCAGAAGCTGACGATAATATCAATACGGCCGCTGAGCCTACAGAAATAAATGACGAGATACTGTCTGTTGCACAGTGGGTAGATTGTTGCTTCGAATGATTCTCAGAACTTCAATCCAAAGTAGGAAATCCCGACTGAGCGAGACTGCAAAATTCTTCTTGATTTTACTCACGATTGCCCAGAGTTCAACATGCTCTCCACAATATTTCCTTAGAGTTTGTGAATTCGAATTGCTGAATATACTAATCAGCGTCTGACAGCTTTGAATCGCTGGGCTCAGTCAAAGCGAAATTAAACCAATCCGAATGAAATTCTGGTATTTCTGGGCATTTCATTAATAATGCATTATAATAAGTTGCCTTTTCTGAAGGAATATTGGAGCAAAAATCCATCGATAGGAAATTCAGTTATACACAAGTAAGAAAGTCTAAGTTCGGGCGGAGCCGAACATTAAAAACCCGGCGCAAGTATTAAATATATGTTTTTTCACCTTTCCGAAAGCTACCGCTAGATGGTAAGCCGGGGTGTATCAATTTTGAGTAAATTAGCGTCCTTAAATTTCGAATTATTGAAGTTTCAAGCATTTCTGAAATTTACCGTTATATAAAAAGCGGCCGTAATTTTAGTCCGATTTCAATAATTTTCAACGTTTTGCTTTTATTTAGCAAGCACAATAAAAATACCGAGTTTGGTACAAATTGGTAGAACGGTTACCGATATACATATATGTGATCATAAGTGGGCGGTGCCACGCCCATTTTCCAAAATTTTAGCATAAACGTATTTCTTGGTAAAGAATTGTTGCAAGCATCAATTTTGAATAAATTAGCTTCAATATTTACTGATTTATTGAAGATTTTGTATTTCTCTAAATTACCGTTATATGGGATTGGGGCGTGGTTATTGTCCGATTTTTTAAATTTTCGGCCATTTAGTGTGCTGTATCGAGGCCAACAACTTTGCCAAGGTTGGAAGAAATTGGTGCAGCGGTTACCAAGATATACACATGTAACCATAAGTGGGCGTGG